TCTTTGTATGTATGGATCACTTGGGTTGTTACCAACATCTGGTGAAAATTTCATGTCATTAGCACCTCTAGTAATACATTTACTGAGAAAATGGCGATGTGTTCAATATTCAATACTTATTTTACCCGCTGTACATACAACAATAATAAATCATGAAAATATCACCTTGATTGCACAAAAACAACAAAAATCAGGACCTAAAAAATGCCCCAAAACATATTTGYGTCAGTTAAATTCTGTGCAGAATAATGGCTAAATCAAGAATTCACGGATTTTCATTCCAAATGAGTACTACATGAGAAATGAAAGATAGATACTAAGGTCACAGTTGMCAGCAAAACATAAATAAATAAAATAAAATAAGCCACAAGAGGACAAAAAGAAAAAAAGCTGTACATAATTTCTTTATTTATTTAACCTTTATTTATCCAGGTAAAATGTTTGAGAACCACTTCTCTTTTACAAACATGACCTGGCACTGAGTGCATTGCAATATACAAACCTACATATTCAGCCACAGTAAAGTGATTGCAAATTTTAATCGCTATTAAAATTTTTAATCTATGCCCATGCAGAACTAAAATTAATCAGAGTTAACTCGATTAATTTTTACAGATAAAAAGACTCAAGTAAAAGTARAACTATAACTGCAAGTTATTTGAAAACAATTCTTACATTTGGAGTCACATAGTTTCCAATTGATTTATTGATTCCTTCATAAAACTGTAGTTTCAATGTTTCCTASTTGGCTTCATGGGTGACCTTTTACGTTTCAGTGTGAGGTATCAGACTCAGAGAAACATGATGTCATTTCAACAGAAACACTGGCGTACTGCTGTCTGTAGGTTAGAAAAGGTCAAACATGCTGTTTGTCTGGCATCACACCAACGATTCATGTAAAAGCAGGCATTTTCTTTTCTGTCAGCTGRTCCTCGTGATTACTTTTACTGTCTGACATCACTGACCAACATGTGTCAACTTTGACCGGTGTTTTCTGACCCCTATGATTGCACTCTGAATTATCATCTGGGTTTGACAGAAAAACAACAAAAGAAAAAAAAAAACTTCAAGAGGATCAAAAAGTTTCACGGCTCAGCAAACACTCTGAAACTATTTTATATTTGATGCTTCAAAAAAGAATTTGTTTCAGGAGAGTCATTCTCTGAAGCAGTGCCTCACTCACATACGTACTTGTCCTCTTTCATTTTCTTTTACTGCCTGTTAATGGTTTTTGATCCCAATTTGTTCGACATTTGTTCCTCTAGAAATAAAGAACTGACTTAAAGTCTCTCCATGCTGGTGGGCAGGGCACACCCAAGTGTAGACTGGAGTTGAAGTGTGTATTTTATGTGTGTGTTTAAAAAGCAGCTCAAACCCATTCGACAGGCTCCTACAGGCCTGACTTGTGCACACAAATGGCAGAGTGTTTTCTAACCGTGTGCGGGAAAAGTAAATCGCACAGAAAAAGGTCCGACATCAGAGGCAGATTGCTTAAACCAGGGTTCTGCAACCTGCGGCTCTGGGGCCACATGTGGCTCTTTGGTCCCTCTGCAGTGGCTCTTTGAAAATGCGAACAAACATAACAGAATAAATATATATTTTTGTCTTTTATACTCAGCTACAGACATGAAAGCACCTGCTGCGAAGCAGGAGGAAAGGAGAGAGGAAAAAGTAACTTCAAATCTTTATAATTTACAGATAAGCTGTACAAGTTGCTGCCCTTCTTTCCCCTCCTGCTGTGCAGGACA